GTCTCTTGACATCAAAAGGTTGCTTATTGGACATCTGCACAGGCCCAGTTGACGGGTTAGTAATCTGAACCAGCCTGAAGTGGACAAGGAGTTCTAATTCCTGAAAAACAGCTCAAACACTCATTACCATGGTGACCCAGGCTCCAGGGAGATGTCATCTATAGGAGCCTAGTGGGAGTCAGATAGCATATTGCCTGAACAGCATAGTACTTACAAAAGGGAGAAAAAAACTTTTAGCTCCTAGTTACCTAATCATCAATGGCTAACTCTTTGCCCGTTTCAATCCCCCTATTCCTTTGTCATTCCTCATTCTTGGGGGATTTGGAGTGACGACCCATCTATCTCCTTCCTGCTGAATCAGGGCATAGATCCAGGTTAGAGGAATGAAACTGTTTAGCACCCATTTGGGCATATTCTCTTGTTCCCAACTTCAGGTTGACATTTTGCATTATTAGAACTTTTGTACCTTGCTCAACAGTTTTGGAACAACATCTAAAGGCACATTTTATAATCAAGTATCAGACCAAAAGGATAAGAAGTACAGATGACCCAAGATTTAACAGTTCCTGAAAAATAGACCTAATCCCAGTGGGGCCTCCATCTGACCTCCAGGTGGGGGCAGACATCTGGTCTCCGTTCCTGACAGTCTTTTGTTTTACTGGCTGTGCATCAGAGACCAGAGAAACGCCCTATACCGTGATCTTTCAGTTGTCCTTGATGGTGGATGATGGCTATCAGCATGGGCTCTCTGCCCAGGGGTCATCACATTCCTAAGGAACTCAAAAGAACAAAGTTATCATCTTATCGCAGCTGGGAGGAGCCATAAAATCTACAGAGCATGTCGGGGTTAGTTAATCAGAGGTCATTCAAAGTTACAATATGGTTTCTTTTCTACAATTCGGCTTCCCTTATATAACCTTGTATTGAGCCGATATCAAACTCCAGACCCTGCTCTCTGCTGAGGAGACCAGAGAGGGCAAGGACCACAGCTCCAGGCTCCCAGCACCACGCTCACCTCATCACTAGTTCCCTTTGAGTCCCTGATTCCTTGGGGGACCGCCAGCTGCCTCCCCTCAGGTGTCTCTCTTTCTCACCCTCTCTGCTCCTCAGGGAGGTTTCCCAGACCCCAGACTTCACTGTGGGTCTGCTTTCGTCTCTCTGGATTCTTTTGTCCGGAGTGTAAACATCTTCTCTTCTCTGCAGGTGTGACTGGCTCTGGAATCAGAGAGCCCTTGCATTCTCATTTCTTCACATTCTGGACGCCTGACCTAATGTCCGCATTGGGGGTTGATGCGGGTGGCCTGCCTTTCCCAGTGACTCGCATGTAGAGAGTTGGCACGCCACCCCTTTGAGCAACAACACACACTCACTCAGCACTCTCAGGAAATGCCGTCCACAGAATGATTTTTCAAAGGGAATATCAAGGGGTGGCCCAGGGGTGTCAAGGAGGGGCCAGGTAGGGAATCTTTTTCAATCTGCCTTCTAATTAGCTTAGTTTCCCCACTGCCCTTGCAAAAGGATAGGAATTTCAAGGTTGGCTTGCAGCTTGTCTTTCATCAAATTAAAATGCTGATAATGTGTGCAGATGGAAAAAAGCTTCCCCAGGACGTGCCCTGAGAGCACCCCTGGAGGCCTTGTCTGGGCAGTCCAGCTGAGGAAGGCCCTGCCTGTTTCTCTGCCTGGCCTGGCTCTAGGTGTTCTGAGATGACCAGATGCCCAGGGAACGCTCCCTTGCAGGTCAGAATCAGGTTAGGGAAGCGCCATGCTAGGGAGCTTGAGGTGGAGGCCTTGGAGAGGGAGGGGTCGTAGGGAGTATGTCAGGGAGAGTTGCCAAGAGAATGATTCACTCTACCCCAGGCAAGGAAAGATGGACCACTGCTGCATGTCCAAAGGTCTGTGCTGTCCCAAATGTTTCAAAGAGGGGACAAGAGAGGGTTTCACCACTCCCTCATCTGTGAGCTTAAACAAGCAAGGAATTGTGGGCCCACAAAACATGGAAGTCCAAGGGGTCTAGCTTCAGGTGTGGCTGGATCGAGGTTAGCCCAGGATGTTGTCAGGGTTCTGCCTCTCTCCATCTCTCACTCTGCTTCATTCTCAGATGTGCTCCCTGAATAGTTTGGGTAGTTTTTACAGCTCTCAGGATGACTGATACCCCCAAGACAGATCTCATGGTGGACTCTGACTTGCTCCACAGGGGCGTTGCCTCCCAGTTCAGTCACTGTGGGCAGGAGGATGGGCCCCATGACTGGATCAGCCGGGTGACCCACCCAGCCACAGGTTGGGGAGCATGGGTCCTCTGATTAACACTCCACCAGAACCCTAGTGGCCTCCAAGCCCCTTGGAAGGCGCAGTAGAGACAATGAGGCCAGTGCTTGAGTGGAGGAAGCCAAAGTGTCCCCATGGAGGTGGACAATGAGCTTCCCCAAGACGAGGTGGGCATGGCCAGAGTGGCTGATTCTGGAATTGCTGATGACCTGCACCCAATCCCTGGCCAGGGACCCAGCCAATCCCACACTCCCATTTCCTGGTGCCATGGAAGCTAGGAGGTCCCTTTGAATTCTGTCGAGGGCAGAAAGCCCCTTAAAGGACCGCTGTCCCATGTCCCCAAGCCAGGCAGTGGGGGCTCTGAACAGACACAAACGAAGGGACACTACCATTCTTTCACCCCTGGAAAGGAAGCTGCGCACGGCAGGCCAGGCCCCGGCTAGCCCTCCCGTGGTCTTTAGGAACTGAGAGGCCTGCTCTTGGTGGTGGGACAGACAACACTGGGCCCTATGGCTGAGGCCTCGCTGGCACCCAGGGCACTGCCCTCTGGGGACAATAAGGTGTCTTAGGTCTTACCTCAGCCACTGCCTCCTCTCTGGGGTCTCCTTCAAATGCCCCCCAGCCCTGTGTCTGAGAGAAGCTTTGGGTAGGACTGTGAACCTCAGAGCGACTGACCACCTGCTGTCTAGTTGGAGGTGCCCTGAAGAGGCACTGGGGACAGGGCTCAGCTCCGAGGGACCCTGGCGTCTGGCCTCAGCCCTGGGCAGCCACGAGTGGGAAGGGAATGCAGGGGACTCTCAAGGACTCAGGGCTGCAGTGCCTTCCTCCCTTTGTTATTCTGGCCTTGACCTGTTTCCTAAGGAGCACTGACAGGAAGGCCCTAGACGCTTCAAACGGCAGCAGCTTCTTCACACTGCCCACCTCCAGCCCTGGCCCTGGGCTCAGGGCCACCTGCCCCTCTCTCCGGGAGACCATGCATGTCCCACAGGGCCCCTCTCCTCCATGGCCCTCGGGCCTGGCACACCTGGCACAAACACACACGTGGGCAGAGCAGAGGCTCCACAAAGACCTTTGATCGTCGCCCAATGGGAGGGAGGGCAGGAAGGAACTGGGAGGAACCTCCACCAGCTTCAGGCCCAGGGTGAGTGGAAGAGGGGTGCTGATGTGAGATGAGGGCAGTGTCAGAGGGGGCTGGAAGGGTGCGATGAGACCCATGGCCATACCTTGTCCTCCTTCTTACGAATCTCCACTTACCGTCACCAAAGGTGGCTTCCTCAGTTCACATCCCACCTGCTGGCTCCCATCCCCTAAAGGCAAACAGCCATGTCAGGCTGCCACTGCCCCCAATCCTCCTCCTAGTGGTCAGCACTCTGGAAGGCTAGGGCCTGCCGGGTGGCCTCCTGCCCTCAGGGCTGGGCTGTCTGAGCCACTTGGGAGCCAGGCCCAACCTGACGCTTGATGGAACCCCAGACCAGAGGATCTGGTGGTCAAAGCCAGGGGGGAGGGGAAGATGAAGGGGCAGGAAGAGGCCTTCAAAGGCTCACGTGCAGGCCAAGTCAAGGGCAGGTGGCTTCTGAAGTTTAGAAAGGGCATCCGCAGACCAGAACAATCATGGGGAGGAGCTGAACAACAGCGGCAGCAGCCTTTTCTCCCATTGCCCATACTCCCTGCTCCTGTGGCTGCAGGGAGAAGTGAGGCCCTTTCTGAGAAAGAGGTCTCAATGCCACGCCAGTCCACTGGATGGAGGCAGGACACTCCCCTGGGAAGCCTGTATCCCCCAGGGGTCTCTGCTTCCTGCCTGCCCAGGAGGTGCAGAGGAGGCAGCAGAAGCCCAGGCCCCTGCCTCACTGCAGCTTCCATCTGAACATTCTCCCAAATCTGAATCCTCGCCCTCCTGCTTTGCTTGGGTGCTCATGCCAGTTCCCCTCAAGACTTTTCTGTAGGAGAACCACCCAGTCCAGGGCAGACAATGGTCGGTGCTGAGGCCCTGCTCCCTGAACACACCAAGCAAAGGTCCAGACTGCTGTCCCAGGGCTGGGGCAGGTGAACGCTGCTCAGGGCCAGGGGCCATCTGAAAGCGGCCCCGAGAGAAGGCAGCAGTTGCCACGTCCGCCTGAATAGAGGCTTTGGGCCTTCAGGGGTTTTATCAGAGAAGCTACAAACAACCCTGGTGGCTCAGGATGGAGCAATGCTCTTGAGCAGAAGCACCCAAGATTGGTTGGAACTTTATGCCTCTGTCTCTTCTAAGTCCCACTCATTGAACCCCTTCTGTGCCTGGCAGGATCCTTCCGTAAAGCAGTGGGGAAGTGCTACCATGCTCAGGTCACAAAGCGGGAGACAGCCCATCAGGCCTGACCCTCATGCCCAGCTAGCTCAGCCCACCATGCAGCCTTGAGATGCTTGTGGAGCAGTGGCCCTACTGGGAAGAGGCCCCGCCATTCAGCTGGAGATCCCAGATGGGCTGACACTGAGTGGACACCAGGCTGTCTCTGACCACCACAGCCTATGCAGGCCCTTGGCTCGGATTCCAGCCCTGGAGGTTGGCCTTCGCCCTCCCTCTGGGCAGTTTTCTGGGGCTGGGGGGACAAGAGTCCTGGACTCACAGGGCATGACCCCAGGATCTTTGAGAGCAGCCTGGGGGTGGCCAGCCCCTGCTGAACAGGTCAGGCCAGCGTGCCAGCCCAGGGGAGGTCTATCTGCACTGGGAAGGTGCCCTCAGGGATTAACACTCCAAGTCATGGAATAAAAATGCTTTATTGTGCAAATCCCAACAGGTCCCAGGCCCAGGGCCAAGTCTACAGCTGCTGTCAGGCCCTGGCTCCATGCCTTCTCTGTGGTCCCTACCCTGGCCTGAAGCACGAGAGTCTCCCGTGGAGTGTGCAGGTGTCCGTCCATAAGTGTGCCCGTGCATAGGGAGGGCCTCCCTGGGCTGCAGGTACTCAGGCACTATAGCAGCCTCAGCCTGAAGACAGGTGGGGCCAAGTGATGTCCCTGCTGCCCCAGCTCAGGGTCCACATGGGTCCACACAGTCCTTCCTGCTGTGGAACACGTGGTAGATGCTGGTGGGAGGGAACATGGCGACAGCACCAAGCATGGAGCCCAGCTGGATGGCCACGCCAGCTGCCAGCAATGCCGGTCGCCCCCCCGCATGCAGCAGGGAGCTGGCAGCCACCTTCACGTAGGAGAACACGCCCAGACACAGCACCCACAACAGCACCTGGCGGAATGGATGCGGCAGCAGGCTGAGCATGAGATGTTCCAGCTCTGGGGCAAACACCCTCCTCAGTGCCACCCCTTTGCTTCTGTGTCCCCAATGTACTTACCACAAGGACCACCCCTGCAGAGGTGCCCACCAGGGGCGGGCAGGGGCTCAGGATTGCCAGCGCCATCAGGTAGGCCCCAAAGAGCATGCCTAGTAGACAGAGACCACCCAGTCCTGCCAGGGACCTGCCAGGGGTGAGCAGAAACTCAGGGCTGGCCGCACAAGAACCCAGCCCCTATCCCTAAGTTCCACCCCCTGAATGGTTTGGGGCCCCTTGTGTACCTGCACAGCACACCCATGGCCAGGAAGCAGGCAAGAGGGCTGGCGGTGCTGCCCAGCACCACAGCCAGGTGGTAGGCCAGGCGTCCATAGGGCAAGCAGGAAAAGCTCTGCACAGCAGGCAACACGCCGTTGGTCAGTGCGTTGGTGACAGCGAGCAGGCCCAGCAGGCAGGCACTGCGCGTGGAGGGCAGCTGATGGGCCTCAGGGTCTGGACTGGGGGTGGTGCCTGCTGCCTGGCTTGGCGGCTCCTGAAGCGGCGAGGCCTCTTCCTCCTCCTCCTCCACTCCTGGGGCTCCCATCCGCAGGTCAGGCCCTGGGGCCCCTGTGGGTATGGATGGTGGTGATGGCAACAACAGCAGGAGACCCTGGAAGGCAGCAGCCGAAGTGACCAGAAGGGCAGTCAGTGCCCAGAAGAAGGTGCTGGCAGAAAAACGCTCTGGGAAGTGGTGGGGGGGCCCAGGGGTGCCATTGATGGGGGCTGGCGGGCACTCAAGGCGGCCCACACCCTGCACTAGGGCCAGCACACAGGGCAGCAGAGCACTGAGGCCCTGACCCAGAAAGAAGGACCGCAAGAAAGGAGGTGGCAGGTGGCTCAGGAAGGGCAGGAAAGTGACATTAGAGGCACAGCAGGCCAGTGCCAGCACCAAGGCCAGCGTTAAGAAAGCCACAGAATGGAGCTGCCCTGCCACCGGCGCTACGTGGTGCCACAGCGGAGCCAGCAGTGCTGTGCCCACCATGCTCAGCGCCTGCACCACCTGGATGGGGCCCCGCTCGCCCTTGCCCGGGGCCAGCCGCCTCCACAGGGTCACCACCAGCAGACCCAGGTTCCCCAGTGCCACAAGCACAGCAAGGTATGAAGGAAGGCTCCAACCTGCAAAGAAAGGAGGAGGCCATGTCAGGGGCAGGATGCTAAGGGACCAAGAGCTGTTGCAACCCACTTTGCGGGGCACACCTGCCCTGCACTTCCCTGCACACGCCCACTCACCCTCGGGGAGGTCTTTCACCACCACAGGCAGCTCCACCCAGATCCCATTGATGGCAGCCCATGAGCCCATGCCGAACAGAGCTACCAGCAGGTGGGTCAGCACCAGACGGCCCAGCGGCGCTGCTGCCATTCAACCCAAGGCTGGGCCCTCCAAGACAGGGCAAAGGTCACAGCCAGCTCTTCTTTCCCCGCCTAGGTCCAAAGAAGACGCTTCGGCTCTTCTAAGAACTGAAGATCTCTTCTAGCTTGAAGGAAATAGACACGCATGCAGGATCACAAGGAGACACAGAACCCGAGTGAGAGGAAGGCCAGACCGCCGAGACCAGGGAAACTGGGGGAGTGTCCGGGGGTGGGGGATGGGGAGGAGGAGGGGCCAAAACATACCAAGAAGCAGCGGCCGCCTGTGTCGGGATGACGACACAGAAAGGCGGGCAGGCAGAGAAGCAGGAAGCCGTGCTTAAGGCGCCACGACCCCACGGGAAGAGCTGATCTTAGGGTCTGAGTTGCCGAGACCACCATCACCCTCACCCCAAGACGGACACGAGACCAAGGACCCAGGGACAAGGGCACCCTTCAGGCGCCACGCACACCTCTGCGGCTTCGGCGCCCACCTGGGACCGCCTGGGCCCCGTCGGGCTCTGAGCGGGTGTGGCCGCGGCGGGCACCGCCCCCCGCTGGGTCCGGTGGGTGGCGGGGAGCAGCGGGGCGAGGGGGTCCCTGCGCCTCCCGGTCCGCGCGCTCCCCGACCTGGCGGTCAGCCGGCCGCCCCGCTGCGAGGGCGCCGCCTCTGGCCCAGGGTCGCGGCCCCAGCTCAGAGCCGGGGAAGCCGGTGGATGCGACCAGGCAGGAGCGCGGACTCTACTCACCGCGGAACTCCAAGACGCGGCTGGCCGGCCCGCCCCCGGCATGGCCCGCCGCCGGAAGCCCCGCCCCGGAAGTCGAGTGCGCAGCCGGCGGGGAGGTGCTGGCCCGGGGTCCAGGCCACGCCCCTTTCGAGGGCACACCTAGCCAGGCCCCGCCCCTTCCGTCGCCAGCCCCGCCCCTTCCGCTCCTCGGGGGCCGGCTGTGTAGCGCGCCTGGTGGTTATGGCTCGCGGGGCTGCCAGGGGGGCCCGGCGCAGAGTCCGGGGCGCGCCGCCGGTCATGGCGCGGGGCCGCTCGGCAGAGGACTGGTGGTGGGATCGGCTGGCTCCGAGCGGCTCCGGGTACCACCTGCTGCAGGCGGACAGCATGCTGCTGGTGCTGCCCGGCCCGGGGCCCGCCCGCGCCCGCACGCACAGGCGCGCTGCCCGCCGAGCTCAGCGGCTGCGGCCCCCGGGGACCTGCGCCGTGGCAGCCAAAGCCAAGCCCAGACCCGCGCCCGCCCCTGAGGCGCCGCAGGGGCCCGACGCGGGCTGGGGCGACCGCATTCCCTTGGAAATCCTGCTGCAGATTTTCGGGCTGCTGGTGGCGACCGATGGGCCCATGCCCTTCCTCGGCAGGTACCCCAGGCCGACCCAGCGCAGTGGCATGGCTCAGGCTGACCCACAGCGCAGTCTCACAGGAGGTTCAGTTGGAGCCCCAGAGGCCTGACTTTGAGCTGAGGTGTCCACAGCGCTGTGAGAGTTGCGGGGGCAGGTCCTTCCTCATAGAAAACTCCATAGCGTCAGCAGGTGGGGGGTGTGGGGGCGGTATTGGCCACGAAAGACCCTGCCCCTCAGCAGAGATTTTCTCCCAGGGCTGCACGCGTGTGCCGCCGCTGGCACGAGGCCGCCTCCCAGCCCGCGCTCTGGCACACCGTGACCCTGTCTCCTCCGCTGGCTGGCCGCCCCGCCCTTGGCGAGGCCAAGGCCGAGAAGAAGCTCCTTGCATCCCTGGAGTGGCTTATGCCCACTCGGTGAGGAGTTTATTCTTTTCCTTGTCCCCTCACTCCACTTGGGTGGTATGTCAAAACTTCCAGGCCCCTTGCTTTCTCCCTGCACCAGGGTGGGGAGGACGCCGACAGAAGGGGCAGTGTGGGAACACTTTGCAGCTCTGCTTCTGCTGTCGGCCCAGGTTCTCACAGCTCCAGAGGCTGACCCTCATCCACTGGAAGTCCCAGGTACACCCCGTGTTGAAGGTGAGAGCTCGAGGCTGCCCTGCCTACCAGCCGTGACACTCTCGGGTTGCCCAGGACTTCCAGGGAGTGGGTCAGGCACCCTGGAGCCCACCGCTGCCCCATGGGGATGCCTGCCTGGTTCTCCTTTCCTGTTGTCTCCTCCAGCAGGGAGGTGTCAGAGATGGGAGCACCTAAGTGGGCCTGGCATGGGCAGAAAGGAGGTCATAGCTGAGGCAGTAAAATGGGGTTGGCACGAGCCATTGGTTTCTTTCCTTTATGGACCACAGCCTGCCCTCCCCCAATTCTGGCTGACTCTCTGTCTTCCACAGCTGGTTAGCGAGTCCTGTCCTCGGCTCACCTTCCTCAAGCTTTCTGATTGCCATGGTGTGACCCCTGACACTCTGATCATGCTAGCCAAATCCTGCCCCCAGCTCCACAGCCTGGACATACAGCACTCCATGGTGAGCCTTGTGTCCCCAGGAGCCCCAAAGAAGCCTGGGCCGCGGTGACAGGTACCCCTGTGTTGGGTTCGCAGGTGGAGTCCACGGCTGTGGTAAGCTTCTTGGAGGAGGCAGGCCCCCGAATGCAAAAGCTGTGGCTGACTTACAGCTCCCAGACAACAGCCATCTTGGGTGCGCTGCTGGTAGGTTGGTGACAGACAGGAGCAGAGCTGGATGCTCAGGGACTGCCTGGCCACTGGCCCCATGTTCTCCCCAACCTCTGCAGGGCAGCTGCTGCCCCCAGCTCCAGGTCCTGGAGGTGAGCACCGGCATCAACCGCAACAGCACTCCGCTCCAGCTGCCTGTTGAGGCCCTGCAGCAAGGCTGCCCTCAGCTGCAGGTACCTGACGCCCCACCTCTCCCACCCGTCACCCCCTCCCCATCTGCAGCCTGGGCCTTGCTCCCAGGTGCTGCGGCTGCTAAACCTGATGTGGCTGCCTAAGCCTTCCGGGCGAGTGGTGACTCCTGGCCCAGGCTTCCCGGGCCTCGAGGAGCTCTGCCTCGCCAGCTCCACCTGCAACTTTGTGAGCAATGAGGTCCTGGGCCGCTTGCTCCATGGCTCCCCTAACCTGCGCCTGTTGGATCTTCGTGGCTGTGCTCGCATCACGCCTGCTGGCCTGCGTGATCTGCCATGTCAGGGTCAGCTCCCTGGGTGGTGGCTGGGCAGGTGGGATGTGGGGACCCTTGCCCACTTTGCAGCTCATGCTCACCCCTCTCACCTCCAGAGCTGGAGCAGCTTCACCTGGGCTTGTACGGCATGTCGGACCGGCTGACTCTAGTTAAGGAGGGCAGCGCCCTATTGACCCAGAAGTGGTGCCACACGCTGAGGGAACTGGACTTGAGTGGCCAGGGTTTCAGCGAGAAGGACCTGGATCACGCCCTAGCTGCCTTTTCAGGCATCCCTGGGGGCTCACGCCCAGCCCTGTGCTCCCTCAACCTCAGGGGCACCCGGGTCACACCAAGCACTGTCAGGTTAGCACCCCTTCCCACAGTCCCTTGGAGCCAGTGTGGCTTGCCTCCCTATCCTGCCTGGCTTGCCTGCTCCAGGGGTCCGAAAGGGGAGTGCATACTGGTCAAGCCCCTGCTTGGGATTGGTCTTGGGGATACCAATGGGACTGGGCTTGGGCCTCAGTGGCTGTGGGTGGCAGAGGCAGTTGTGGTACATGGGCAGAGAGGGCTCCTTAGCCTGGCCCAGCCCTACAGGGGCCTGCGTCGCCTGGGGGCCAGTGGTTCAACTCCCCATGGCCTATCCTGTCCCCACAGCTCTGTGATCAGCAGCTGTCCAGGCCTGCTGTACCTCAACCTGGAGTCCTGCCGCTGCCTTCCCCGGGGCTTGAAGCGGGCCTATCGGGGCCCAGAGGAAGTGCAGTGGTGCCTGGAGCAGCTGCTCACCAGCCTCCCGTCCCTCAGCTAGGCAGCTCCAGACCCCAGACCCCTGGGCCAGCGAGCCCTGCCCTGCTCCCTTTCCCAGTTTTGGATCTTTGAGCATTTTGTTATAATAAAACATTTTCAGGAACTCTGTGTGGTCGTTGGGGTGGGAGTGAGGGGACAGGGGTTGTACCTAAGGGACAACCGGTTTGGGCTAGAGCTGAACCACAGGCCTATGTGTTGTGAGAGGGGGCTCCTGAGTCTGCCTGTGGCTGTGCCTTGCCTGCTCACCCCTGGGCCCGAATCTTGGTCAGAGTGTGTATGTGTGTGTGCGCGTGTCCCCCCCTCGGGGCCACTGAGGTGAGCTGTCCGTGGCTGTATGTGAGGCTCTGACCAGGGCAGAGGTGCTGCTGGAGAGGGGGAGGTCCTGCTCAGCCATGAGGTTTGGTGTGGAGTGCCTGCCTACAGACTTTCCTCCAGTTTAGGCCTGGAATGTTCCGCCACCCCACCCTTCAGGTGAGGGCTGTGAACCAGACTGTACAGGAGGCCCCCGGTGGGATGGGGAACTAGGCGGGAAGTGCACGCCCACCGCAGGCCTGGCCAAGCGACCCCCTGGAGAAGGGTCGTGGTCACAGAATGGCTCCTTCTAGAACCTGCCGCCCAAAGCTTCTAGAACCCCGGGCGGGGCCCAGCCTGGATCGCCACCTAGTGGCGCTCCCCTGACGGTTGCCTGAGTTCCTGCTCCTTCCTGGACCGCAGCCCTGGAGGCATTCTTCTCCCAGGTAAGAGCGCAACTGTGGGCAGAGGGCGGTGGCAGCAGACGAGCCGCCCAGTTGACGACCGCCTGTACCAGATCCAGATCCCCAAGGGCCGGATTACCGGCTTGCCCACGACCTCCAGCGGCAAGCCTTTCCAGCTCTGGGCCCTAGGACACTTGTGCACCGAGCGCCACCTGGCCAAGCGCCTCAAGGACAACAGCTTCTACCCGTTCACGCAGCAGCAGCCCAATGGTGCGCGCGGCCGGCGGCTGGGGAACCGGGTCCTGAACAGGGCGAAGCCGGGGCACGGGGGCCGGAGACCTGAACAGGGCGGGGGCGGGGACCTGAACGGGGAGGCGGCGGAGACCTGAACGGGGAGGGGGCGGGGCCGGGACGCGGGGGCGGAGACCTGAACAGGGCGGGACCGAGGGGCGGGATCTAGGCGGGGCGGGGGCGGGGCCAGAGCCCGTGGCGGGGCTGGCCCGTGGCGGCGCCGGCCCAGAAACTGCAGGCGGAACGCTGACTACGGCCCCGAGCCCTTCGTGGGGCGGGCTGTTCCGGGTCGAGCCCTGGCACTGCCACCCCCGGCTGCGAGCAGGGGCCGGCTGTCCTCACACGCCGCCGCCACACCGTCCCCAGTCTTCGTGCTCGAGTACTACCTGGACACGCTGTGGAAGGGGACGCTGCTCTTCGTCGTCTGCCTCTTATTCGTCAGCTTCGGCTTCTTGAGTCAGGTCTGAGCTCCTGGGCCCACGTCCCACGGCCTTCCCTCTCTGGGGGGCGGGCCCACCGCTCGGCGCCCCCTCCCCGCGCCCCTCGGCCGCTAAGAAGGTCCCCGCGGCGCCCGCAGGTGCAGAACCAGGAGACTTGGGGCTTCCCCGCGTACGGCGTGGGCGTGGGCCTGTGGCTCATGATCTCGTCGCTGCCGCGGCGCCGCCTGGTGCTGAACCACACGCGCGGCATGTACCACTTCTCCATCGAGGGCCGCACAGTGTGTCAGGGACCCATGCACCTGATCTACTTGCGCCTGGCACTCAACTCGGACGGTGACGCACGGGGCGGGCCGCGGAGTGGGGGAGGGTGTGCAAACGAAGGGAAAGACGCTTGAGAGTAAGGCGAGTCATCCGGCAAACTGGCCCACGGCCCGGTCCCCTGGAGCGCCCGCCCCCTGGTGTCTCTACCCCTGGAGCCCCCGCCTCCTGGAGTCTCGGCCCAGTGCAAACCCTGTCTCCTGGAGCCCCCGCCCCCTGGAGCCCCGCCCCCTGGAGTCCCCGCCCCCTGGAGTCCCCGCCCCCTGGAGCCCAGTCCCCTAGGGTCCCCGGGCTGAGCTGCTTGCCCCTCACCAGCCTACGGAAGGTGCTTCTTCCAGCTGGTTCTGTGCGGCCACAAGCTGGAGCCGCTGGTGTTGGTGCAGCTTTCAGAGCGCTACGAGGTGGGTCCCGTCCCAGCCCGCCCCGGATCCCCAGACACACTCCCCTCCCCGCCTCGGTTCAGCTTGACGCCTCCCTCTGCTTAAGGTCTTAAGGTGGGGCTATTTCCACGCGGTCCTAGCCCAGACTTCCGCTCGGAGCCCGTGGAGAGGGCCCTGGGGCTGAAGGGCAGGGCTGGAGATGCGGCCTGGCAAGGGAGGGGACGCCTCAGTGGCCAGCGGCGGGGCCTCTCCTGTCCAGGCAAGAGCTGACCGCCACCCGTTCCCCCAGCAAATGGAATACCTGGGCCGTCACATCGCCCGGAAGCTCAACATTAACTACTTCGACTACCTAGCCACGTCCTACCGGCACGTGGTCCGCCACTGGCCGCTGGGGACCACTTTCAACCCAGGCGTGGTGCTGCGCAAGACCGGCGCCTACGAAAAGCAGGGCTCTCAGTCCGACCTGGACGTGTAGATGCTGCGGGCTGGCACCCCATCCTTCCCCCACCCAGGGCTACATTCTCCCTTCCCCTCCAATCTCCCACCCCTACCCCACCACTGGCCTTCCTCTCAGTAAAGATGCTTCTTGCTTCCAGCTGGTTGTTTCATCTTCGAGGGGTGGGGGGCTCCCGCTCCAGGGTCTTCCCCTGGTGCACACCTCCCAGGGCCTCAGGGAACAACTCCCGGACTTTGGGTTGGAAAATGGGGGTAGTGGTGGGAGTGAGGTGATGAGCAGCCAGGTCTCTAGGAGGTCAGACCCACCATAGGACAGGTATGGGACACACTTACCCATCTTGGCCAGCAGCACTGAACTGGTCCTAGCTGGCCTCAGAAGTGCTGACCAGGGGCCGGCCCGGTGGTGCAGCAGTTAAGTGTGCATGTTCTGCTTTGGTGGCCTGGGGTTTGCCGGTTCGGATCCCAGGTGTGGGCATGGCACCGCTTGGCACACCATACTGTGGTAGGCATCCCACATATAAAGTAGAGGAAGATGGGCATGGATGTTAGCTCAGGGCCAGTCTTCCTCAGCAAAAAGAGGGGGATTGGTGGCAGATGTTAGCTCAGGGCTGATCTTCTGCAGGAAAAAAAACCCAAAAAAAACAAAAAAGAAATGCTGACCAATAAGTTAGGAGTCAGATCTGATTGGTCCAGTCCAGGTTAGGTGCCTGTTACTCGTCCAATGAGTGATGGGATGGGCACAGTCATAAGCCAAGCCCTGTGCCTGGGGGTGCATTCTGGGTTAGACACTTCCCAAAGTCCTGCGGCATAGCTCCCAGGGAGGAGGCTGCAGAACCCTAGGCCAGGGCTCAAGGCCTGCTGGGGGTGAGGGGTAGACCCACCATGTTGTGGAGCTTGCACCCATGTGCCTTCTGGAACCCCAGTCCCATGTTCCCTTGTCCAGTGGGTGTTCCCATCTCCTGGGAGCTGGGAGCTGGGAGCTGCTGTGGGAACAGAGAAGGCAGTGGTGGGCCATGGGGATCCAGGAGTGGCACCTGGCACTATCCACCTGGCTCTCCTGGTCAGCGTTTTCCCTCAGGGCCATGCTGGTGACCCAAGTCTTTGTGCATTGTGCCAGCTGAGTGGCCCTCGAATCAAGACCAGCTGCCTAATTTGCAGGGCTCCACACAAAATGAAAATGCAGAGCCCCTTGTTAAAAAGTTATTAAGAATTTCCAGAAGGCAATGCTAGAGCATTAAACCAAGTGTGGGTCTTTCTGAGCTTGGGGCATTTTGTGATTGCCCAGATTATGTGCCCATGAAACTGGCCCTGCCTGGATTCATGGCTCAGAGTTACTCACTGGTTGACTCTCAATCTTGAAGCTGGCCAAACCCAGTGGGCACACCAGCATCCCTGCCTGTCTCTGGGGCAGAGTCCAGGGACTGCTGGAATTACTTTAGGCAATCCTAGGGAGCAGTTGTTATTCATGGCACAAGTACAGGGACCCCTGCCCCTCAGAAGATGGGGTCTAAGTTTTCCTCAGAGTGGCAGTGCCCAGCTTTTACTGGGGGATGGGCTCAAGATGGTGGGCAGAGCCCAGCAGTGGAGATGTTGGGACATGTTGGGGAACAATGTAGTGGGGAGATATGGGGTGGGGTGTGGGCCAGAGAGCTAGGCTGGCTGGGTGAGTGCGTGGGGCACCCAGGCTGCCTGTTGGCTTTGCACAGGGGTTAGAATGCCAGCCCCTCAGGCTCCAGGAGGCTTCTCAGATCACCAGAAAGGCTTCCAGTTGGGGACTCAGTCTCACCCAGGCAGGCAAAGTCCCTGTCCTCCTGGAGCTGATGATCTAAGGGGGACATAGACGGAGGAGTAAGTTTTGCCAAAGTGGCTGGAGGAGGGGTGAAGTCCTTCTAGCTAGAGGGTCAGGCAAGTCTGAGGATGCAGGATTTGAGCTGCTACCAGGAGCTGGAGGTCATGTGGAGCTCTGGGGGAGAGCATTTGGGGCAGAAGGGACAGGAAGTGTAAAGGGCATGATGCAGTCCTGAGCTGGAGGGGGACTGGCTGGTGAGAATGGAGAGGGGGACCTGGAAGGCAGGAATCAATGGGAAACCACTGGGGAGTTGTAAGCAGAATGTACCATGACCTTGGAGGGAGTGGGAAGGGCCAGGAGGTGGCAGGAATGTGCAGGAGGAGAAGGGTAGCTGGGCGTCAGGTAGGGGCAGGGGGAAACAGAGAGGACCACCAGTAGGTCTGAGCTACATTTTGAGTTCACAGCAGACAGAATTTGCTGGCAAGCTGGATACAGGCTGGAAAGGACAGCAATTCAGGGTGAGTCTGGGGTTTCTGGCCTGGCTACTGGGGCTGCTGGTCCTGGGGAGGAGAGATTGAGGAATCAAGCTGTCTGAGTTAGGGGAGATTTTGAGAAGGCAGGGAGGCACTGGGGAGAAGGGGCAGGAGCAGGAAGCAGAGATCTGGAGCCATCATCCCACACGAGGTCCCTCAGGCCAAGGTCCTGATGTCTCCTGGCAGTACAATGGACAGAGA